GGGAGAGATGTTGAGGGGTTGCATGTGGTTGAGAGAGGGAGAGAAATTGAGGGTCTGAGGGCGGTCGAGAGAGTGAGGAAATTTTTTGAGGATTTGCACGTGGTTGAGAGAGAGGGGTTGAGAGTGAGACAAGAAGAGGCTGATCAGGGCCAGAGAGTGATTGCGACTGAGCAAGAGAGAGGTTGAGAGGGTTTAGGGAAAGAGAGAGACAAAGAGGGTTGTGTGTGTCCCATGAGGTGTTCCTGGGTTCAGCGCCTTTCGGGTTGTGGTTGTTTGGGAATGGATGTCAGCGTTTGGACAAATAGTCGCTTGAAACTTGTGGTAATACCTGTAATGAGTAGGAGAGGTCTCACTATAGAGATTAAACCAAATATACGATTTGGACTCGTGGATAAGAGGATCCTCACTTGACGCATTTCTGCCCAAGATACTATCACTGGGCCGGTAAGGAGTTAGGAACAGGGCTGGGTGCTGTCTGCCACGAAGTAGTTATACATTCGTTATAAGGATTCTTATTTATAGCGATCCCTCCACTGATAACGTGAAACAACTCATTTAGAGTGAGTGAGTGAGTGAGTTAGATTTTACGCCGATTTTAGCAATGTTCCAGCAATATTCCGACGGGGCACACCAGAAATGAAATTTCTATCGTTTGAGCTGGGTGAATTAGATAGAAAATGATTTCTCTTTAGGGACAAACCAGATAAAAGAGGAGGTAATGCATGGTCTAGAGGGCGCTGTCAGATATGTCTATAAATGTGACGTCATAGCGCGGTAAGTTCATTCTCGGCTCCGACACCAGTACTGAACATATTGATTTGTGACACTTAAGGTGCTGCAAGAAGAGATGATAATGAGAAACACTGCTGCAGTGTTGTCATATCTACCTTGTAGGTGGAGGAGATGTTACAGTAGCATCTGATGTCTACAGTGATAATATGCGTACTTTTTTCTTCTAGGGTGCAAACGTAGAAACTGCCTTGCAGGAAGGTCAATCTGCTTGAAGGAATGTTTGCGTGGAACAAGACGGTGAGGCGTTAATCATCACTGTGATGTGACGTACCGCGTACAGTTTTAATAAACGCCTCGGCAAGTGTCGCAGGGGACTTACACTGATGTTTGTTCTTTTATCTGGTTTGTGTTGGTGGTAGAAGGAGAAATGGGTTTCACACATTGTACCCATGTGGGGAATTGAACCCGGGTCTTCGGCGTGACGAGCGAACGCTTTAACCGCTTGCTACTCCACCACCCCAATTCATTTAGAAGCTCACTCGTACATACCTTAATCTTATCTATCATTTATCCAATTAAATGTCTCCAAAATTTTCTAACTCTCTAATACTTCATTTTTCCCCAGCACACTCATTCCATCATTAGAATAATGCATTCTTTGCATGACATCGTTATTCGCTAATAGGTTTGTGCATAACCGATACTCGTGTATGTTTCAAATTCGGAACATTACTTGACAAAAGGTGTGTCATACTTTGTTCCAGTCTTAATTTGTCATATGCCATATGCATATTAATCAATCAAACTTGGTGTTGACAACATGCTGAAGTGAAGCTGAACGCTGCAGGTGGAATAAGTGCAGCTACGTGTATAATATTATGGAGATGTACTTTCATGCATGCATGTTACCGAGTGCGTGGGTGTGCCCGGGTGCAGGCCGGAGAGAGAAGAGTGAGAAGTGAGGGAGGGAGGGGAGAGAGTATAGAGAGAGCGAGTGAAGGAGACTGAGGGATACAGGCTGACAGGGAGGGGAGGGGGAGAGGGGGGAGGGCGAAGTAAAGAGTGAGTATACTGACGTGAGGTGAGGTGAAATGGGGTTTAACGTCGCACTTAAGAATATTTCGCTCATATGACGACGTAAATGCGTGTGTATGTGTGGCTGTTTGTACTAGCCCAGACTTATAGTGCTGGCTCACTGAGATACCATGCCGCAGTGAAGCATGAATACTCCACTCAGACACATTATACTGACTCCGAGCCGACCAGTCCTTGTTGTACCAATCAATGCCGAGCGCCAAGCAGGGACCAACAAGTACCATATTTTAACGTCTCTTAATATGACGCGGCCAGGGATCAAACCCGCGACCTTCTGCTCTCCGGGTGGACACTCTAACCACTACACCACGGAGTTGTATACTGAGTGTCGGAACCGACCAGTCCTTATTTAACCCCCTAAATGCCGAGCGCAGAGTGGGAACAAATCTTTAACCTACGTTGCTATGACGTGGCAGCGGCATCATACCACAGACATACAACTAACCGAACGGGCGCTCTATCCACTAAACTACTGAAGTAATATACATTGCTCACGTACATTTTGTATTTTCGTGGCAATGATTCATGTTATGCTTTTATACATATATTACGTATCACGTTTCTGTGGATACACATATAATCACGTTACTGCAACCACAACTCTGGAAACGATTTCTGTGCCATGTGTTTTGTTACAAACATGGTTGAAGAAACCTCTTGTGACGTAAAAACACCGAGTATAACCGATAACTGAATGAAATTAACATCTGATATCGACAATTTCTGTTACAAATTGTTATGTTATACGTTCCATCAAACTGATACGACTGATAACGACAAACTATTGTATTTTAAATATGTCCTTAAATATTAAACCATGTCGACATGTAATAGAGCCATTCAGAACAGGATAATATACGCAATACTCCTCGGTGCAGTAACCTCTTCTGGGGTGACAGTGATTTTTAATGACGATGATATTCTTTTCTTCAGTAATACTGCGTTTTCTTTCCGATAATACGCTGTTGGAGACGTCGTCTACTAACCATTTTACAAGGGGGCTAACATCATGCCATCGAATACGAACCACATAGTTACGTTTGGGTAATTAATCCACGTATAATTGTCCGATCGTGATATTTGATACGCACTAGTCTTGATGAACCAGTTGGTCATATAAGGCATATGTGCATATTGATATTAATATAGTTTTCAATTCTGATGAAATACTGTTGTGGTTTATTGCAAAGTTTCATTTTTAGAGTACCGTGTTCAACCTGTGTGAAGTCAAACGAGTTCAGATGACAACATACCGGTTATGGATTGTGTAATGCGACTCGATTTACTGTAACAGCTACTTCTGGTCACAGGTATACCTCTATAAAGACTGACTGACTGAGTTTGTTTTTACGCCGCTTTTAGCAATATTCCAGCAACAACACGGCGGGGGACACCAGAAATGGGCTTCACACCTCTATAAAGAAGTGCAATACATATTAATGAGCATCCACGAAGTATTCACATTACGATTTTACTGGAGGTCTAAACACCTGAGACCTGCGTCGCTTCGGATTTTGTGCGTGAGGTAGCTGGAATACTGTTGACACTCAACTGAATGACACACTCACTCACTCACATTGTGAACTAACATCAAAATATCAAGCTATTAGGTTTTGTAAGAGCATCCAAAATTTGGCAATTTTCCGATTAACCGATTTCATTTCAAATTTGGGAAGAACCGTTTCCGTCAGTATCTGTTACAATATTATCCGGCATTCCGAATATATTCCACAGGTAGACAGGTAACATTACAAAATGGATTTACCAACATACAGATAACTGAACCCACTCCTCCTACTCTCAACAACATATTTTATTATTAATCTCACATAACGGTATATTGATTTTGCACTTGTAGTTAAAAAGGCCAATGTCGCACTTAATGAAATATGTAATTCGATGTTTCCATAACAATGGCATAGATGAATTATGTACTAATTCCCGAATCTTTTCAAAGCAACAGTAGATAATAATATACATTATTGACTGAAACTACTTTGTAATGGATCTTTTGGAGCAAATTAAGACCAGACTATTTTTATGTCCTTAACTGAAATGATAGCAATCAAGTCTGGATTTTTTTGCCAATGTCGTCAGGTACATGTTAGACTTCAGTGACATACGTGCAATGGATAATGAAATAAGGGTTCGGTAAAAGTGTGGCTGATCATTGTACACGCTGATATCGCCCAGTTCCACCTATACACTATGTTCTCTGACTCTCGGCAGCATTTCACCTTCTACTCTGTATCTGGTAACACACTGTATAGATTCCATTGGTAATTTCCTGCAGCGTTACCGTCGGGTTCAAATTTCTATTGCGCTTCCAGTTTTGGAAGTTGACTGTAAGCCTTGGGCGAGAAACCTCAACTCGATACGAGACTTATTCCCAAAGAGGCTATCGGTCGAACCGAGGTCTGCACTGAAGATATTCCCCGGTGTCTTAGAGACGCCCTTAGCTGTAAGTGTAACGCTTTCATAGCACCAAGTGTTTCACTTGCAGAATGAACACGAAGGACGTGAGTATGAAAGTCAAATACGGTGTAACTACAATGTACACATGCATGGCTAGTTCGGATGATATTTTACTGTCGTTTTTTAATCACATTCTACCTTAAGTAGAACGACATTTGGATTAAACATGCATACAGTATATCCTACGCAAAGGCATGGTTAGATGTACAGGTATTTTTCTGACGTTCTCTATGTTATGCTCTACCTCGAATATCAAGTATTGATACACAGTGGAAACTAATATGTGCATAATTATATGTTCCCTGTTCAAGATACAATATTGCACGATACAAGATGCTGCATTTAACGTTGGATACATTAGTACAAAAGCACGGGCTATAAGGACTATGTCTCCCAAGTTCTTGTCGATATTTACATAATATTCACCAGAAAATATTATATCTTTGCTAAAAAAGTTGCTCCTATATAATGCATTATATATGCGAACCACGTAAAGACACAATTGCTACAGTTTCCGTACAACCACAAATAAAACTTGAAGGTTTTGTTCAGTCCAATAGCAGTAACATATAAGGGTGCTTCCAGTTCAATAAGAACTGATGAACGTGAACAAGAAAAATCCAGAAAACTGTGCTTACCTAACAGCTCGGTAGTGACAGATACCAAGATTAAATGAAAAATAAGAAAAACCTTCCTACCTGTCCACGCACCTGTTTTGAAAGGTCCCAGTTCCTTTACAGATCGTGACTACTGCCACGAACAGCACTGAGAGATGGTCGTCTCTCTCCCACCGCTGACAACCAATGAACGACAGCTAGTGTGTCGACGCTAATCCATATCCTCCGCACTCACGACAAATCAGCAAAATTATCATACAGAATGAGATTAGGAAAGCTCCCTTGGAAGATCTAGCCTCTGGCTCTTCCGAACCGCATAGGAACCAAACCTAATTCAAGGGTGAAAATTGGGCTGGTAAGAAATTACAGTACTACTTGAGCAGTCCGAACTAATATAAAGGTATTACTGGCGATCTCGAGCTCGGCTGCATGGCTGGAACGCGTACTTCCTCCGCGTGCGTGAAAAAATCAATGACTTTTGTTAGCTGATCCTTCCTAAGAGCACTGATGACAGTTGAATGGTAACTTAAGTTTGAAATTTAGTTCTGACTGTTTGATTGGCCATAATGTCCAAATACTGCTGGATGAAGAACCAGCCTGTTGCCTCTTAATAGGTTGATACCTGACGGTTGGGCTAGGAGAGTGCTGCTGCATTGCTGTCAGTGTGTACGTTACATTAGCAGCAGCTACAGCACAGGGACACAGTACAGTCTGTGTATCGTCCTGAACTATTGAACTACAGCACTGACGGATCGGATGTGAGTGGGTGTTCCTGTGTGTGTTTGTGTATTTGTCTCTGTGTGTTCGCTTGTGTGTGTCAGTGTGAGTGTGTTTGTCGCTATGTGCTCGCGCCTGTGTGTGTTTGTCTCTGCATGTATGACTGTGTGTCTGTGTCGGTCTCTGTGTGTTTGCGTGTGTGTGTTTGTCTCTGTGTGTGTGCGTGTCTGTGTTCGCGCGCGTGTGTTCCTGAGTGTATGTTCGCGTTTGTGTGTATGAGTGTTTGCCTGTGTGTCTGTCCGTCTCTGTGTTTGTATGCGTGAATTTCTGTGTTTGTATGCGTGAATTTCTGTTTGTGTGTGAATTTGTGTGTGTGTGTGTGTGTGTGTGTGTGTTTGTCTCTGCGTGTGTCCGTCTCTGTATGAGTGTGGTTGTGTATGTGTGTCCGTTTCTGTGTGTTTGTCTCGGTGTTCGCACGTGTGTGTGTTAGTCTGTGTGTGTTCATGTCTGTATGTTCAAGTTTGTGTGTCTGCGCGTTCGTGTATTCTGTGGGTTGGAAGGGGGAATGTAGGCTGAGTAAAGGTTTGTTTGGAAGCGGAATGGATGGGAAGGGATAATTCAGAATGTGAAATTGAGGGTACATTCAATCCTTTTATGCTATGTTTGAACAGTGGATCAATGCTGCAGCCACCATGTACAGGAATCTGACATATGAGTGAGTGAGTGAGTTTAGTTTTACGCCACACTCAGCAATATTCCAGCTATATGGCGGCGGTCTGTAAATAAGCGAGTCTGGACCAGACAATCCAGGGATCAACAGTATGAACATCGATCTACGCAAGTGGGATACGATGACATGTGTCAACCCAGTCAGCGAGCCTGACCACCCGATCCCGTTAGTCGCTTCTTACGACAAGCATGGATTGCTGAAGATTCTAACCCGGATCTTCACGTGTCTGACATATGAAGTTGTGACCAGTTGCAGCTTCCATTCCGTCAATGCTTGTTTACAGACCCATACATCTGACCATGAAACAGGGCATTTTAAACTACACAGTACATAACAGAGAAATAACACTCGTTCCGTGTATAAACGGGCGGTGGGGTAGCCTAGTGATTAAAGCGTTCGCTCGTCACGCCGAAGACCCGGGTTCGATTCCCCACATGGGTACAATGTGTGAAGCCCATTTCTGGTGTCCCCGCCGTGATATTGCTGGAATATTGCTAAAAGCGGCGTAAAACGAGACTCACTCACTCACTCACTCACTCACCGTGTATAAACAGTCGATAAATAAATTACGAGAAGGTCTACATTGATAGAAATATCTTTCTTAAAAAAGATTTCTGTCCTCACAAGTTAACCTAACCTATTGCCTCTTGGTCTACCCTTCTCCCACTCCTGTACCAACCCCATCGCCCCTCCCACAATACCCCTACCACAACACCCCTCTTTTCTCTCCCTACCGTTTAGCCTGTTGTCCTTCCATAATCATTCTCTTTATCAGCATTACATCACTGCTTCGTATCCTTTCATACAAAAACCTCTTCCCAATACCCAATACCTGTCTCTGTGATGTAGCAGATAGAACGTCTTCCCGGAGAAAGTTGACGTTTAGATTACGCCACCGTGTCTTTTCAATGACGTTAAAATGTGGCATTTGTTGTTACCTATCTGGCGCTAGACATGAAGGTACAAAACGAGAACTTGCAAGCTCCAATCGCATGTGCCGGAGTGGTGTCCCTTGTTAACAGTTTATCACTGATCAAGCACAATCTATTACAATCATACGTGTATGCACGTCACTATACAGATTGAAGTGCAGCAATATTGAACAATATTTCACCGCTAACGCCTCCTGTGAAATTGTATACTTGTAATAGTGGCTGAGCGGACGTTGTTCAGCGTCACAGTAAGCAACGTCGGATACACCGTGCGGACTTATCTGACAGGAACAAGCAAACCACTGCCTGAAGGCATCGTCGAAAGAAACAGCCATCGCCATCGTATACGATTAGACAGTCACTTATTATTGAATGGAGTGCACTTAACTTATACCACTACCACATCATTTATGGAAACACGATACCATAAAGCATAATAGATTCAGTGAGGAGTTATAAGATGGGATTTGAAATATTTCAAGAACAAACACCACAAAGATATTGAAGTAGGATGCGGGGCCATGGGCATCCATTTAGCTTCCGCGTAACACTGCTAGTTTTCTATTGACAGCTGGGACTTTCATCCCAACAGAACAGACACCATCATCCGATCCATACGACAACGTAACACCGATCAATAATCAACTAATACTGGAGAAATATATTCGGATGGAAATCGAAACAATTAAGCATGCTTCTCTGTTTAAAATAGTAAGATTGAAATGTTTAGACCAACGAACATTTGCATAACTGACGATATTTCAATACTTGGGTTCCAGGTTAACTTATTCCGACGCCAGTGAATTCAAATGTTAAGGTTAAATTCAAAATTGTATTCAAATCAGCGACTGAGCTGATTCCTACAGGAAAGAAAGGGTTATCAAGGGCGAGGGAAAGACTTTGAAATATCTCCTTATGCACGTCTCCCTTATGATAATCAGGATAACAAACACCAAAAACAATGCTCATTCCCTTTTAAAGAGGAGCATTTACTGAAGAGATATAACACATTATACACAGACGGAGTACAAAAGCAACGATATCTCTGTTTTCCATGAATTGACTGTATGAGTGAGTGAGTGAGTTGACCTTTACGCCGCTTTTATCAATATTCCAGCAATATCGCGGCGGAACTGACTGTATGACATTTGACTAGATTCATTCTAAGCATTTATAATAACCACAGTTAGCCATCTGTGGAACAATTAAAACGTGTCTGATCGGATATGAATAGTTAGTCATTAAAGCAAATACAGTAATTGGGGAAACGGTACAGTGTGGGAAGGGCCAGGGAAAAGTACAAAAGCCAAGTGTAACTGTTCAAAAAAACCCACATTATTTGGATGGATGTATTTGAACTGTAATTGGACACTGAATCGGCTAATCGTGCAGAACATGAGTTCTTTCACTTGTCTGGACTTAAATTTTCTGTGAAGATCGTTAAACATTTTCTGCCTGAATTTCTTCCAATTTCGATTCATTGAAATAAGTTGAGTCTCTTCGCCTACTTGGACACCTTCAGAATGTTAGAGTCCGACTATGTGCACTAAACTGGTCAGGAAAAGAAATCGAAAACTCTACGTTTGCAGCAGCTATCTTCTCAGCACAGCTAAATACCGATCATGTTGCTTTGAACCACTCACGGTTTAGATTATTCACACAAAGCTCATGATCACTTTTCAAACTGAATATACTTTAACCGAATGTGTTTGCATTGATGAAATTGAAATCCCTTGTGGTAAGAAATACTTTCAAAACGTTTTCCACTCAATGAATCAAGCGGTTCCATAAAAATCTCGAACTGATGTTTTTACAACAATGCCAGGAAGGCCCCGAATGATTGCCTTTCCCAATGTACAAGTTCGAAACTACCAATGGACATTACGTATTGCGATGATAAGATGACAAGAATTAAGATTTTCAGTTCTTTGAACTCCAATTTTTCTCTCGAAAGAAATGACTGATGAGTAACTGAACAACATCCGAATACAAAGTCTGTTTGTTCCTGAGCCATGAATTGCAAGACATTTACGAATGACAGACTACTCGCCATGGCATAAAGCCCTTGTGAGCTTAAACCAGCTTTATGTCCAACGAGCGACATGAATCAATCTGCGCTTTATAGTGATTCATGACTTTGAACACTCGGTTCACAATTACACCAATTGCAGACAGCCTTGACATGGTTCTGAAACAGCTAAATGTGGCGTAAATACCTTTCTGTCACTCCATCACTCATTATGTTGTGAGCGAATGATCTTGTGACATCCCAGAAAAAGCCTATGAAATGTCAGATGCACCGGCACTCGGCTAACATCACTCATGGGAAATATAGCATAATGAAATATGCATAAGCCTATATTAACATTGACATAGATTAGTGCAGTGATTTCCTGTGTGTTTCTGTCGAATGATTTGGATTAACTTAAGCTGAGATCGATGTTAGTAAGTCATGGTGGTATATGGATTTTACCAATACGTGATAAAATATGTGGCATTAAGCTTTTACAAAACCCAAGCGCCTGAGAATAATCATTCTCGATTATCCAACGAAACAGATTCTGTTAAACGGCACAATGGTGGTGGAAATTCATTGATTCACCGCCATCGTGCCGGTTCGTAGAAAGTCAGTGATGACAGGTGTTTGCGAACAAGGTAAGCATGCCCTCCCTTACCTGTAGTACCCGCCACTCACACAACACTATAAATGTTGCGCTTAGTCTAATATTTTCCTTCCTAAGGGGATATATATCTGTTACACATGAAGGCAGATGTTACGTCCATTGTCAAAAAAACACACCCTAATCAATATCCCTGTTTTCATTAAATTACACGCGTGTAAACAGCAAAATATAAACAATTGAACAAAATAGTTCATAGATCTCAATAAACGTAATACAACACAAAGTACATTTCATTTCCGTTCATGTTTATTGCAGTGAAGTGTGACCTTTGGCTGGTGAGGTTCACCCGCTAGTACTAGTTCTGACGCTAACTGGTGATGATGTTATCAACTAAGTCCATGCGCACATCGTACTAGTCACAATAATATACTAGATTTGTTCTGCAACAAATCACAGGAATTGGGTTTACCTGTAAAAGTTGAGATACAACAACACCCTTCAAAGTCAATTCTTCGAAGATATGTTTCTGGCATTCAAACCCACATACCGATGTTTCTATTGCACTGACTCGTAAATGGAGCTACGTGTTCTGCATGAAACCGTATTCCACATTCCACCAGACACCACAAAAATCTCT